AAATTACGTGCTTCCTTATTCAGCTATCAATTTGGCCTGTGGCCGGCCGAAAACGTACTAGTATGCACGCAGCACAAAAATATAAATGCAAAAAAAATTGTAAAATATGCTTTACATCCAGCTTGGCAGGTTCATTTCCAAGCAATAACTAGTCACAAAATTGTTCAAATTTTTTACCATGTTTTTGAGTCAGCTACGAGATGGTAAAATGCGAAAATGCAGCCCGAAGAGAATTGAAAATAGTCAAAATTGTCTCAGCATCGGAGTTCGTACATGCAGAATTTCACTAATTTATCTCGAGGAAGTTTCTGATTTTGACCTTCAGAAATAGAAGTCGAATACTCTTCTGCATCCGTGTAATTTCTGATATAATATGACGTTTCTAATATTACATGTTCAAGGCATTACGGTTTATAGGGAAGCAGATATATCAATCTAAGCGCGAGATTAGGAAGCCCCTTCTCTACTTTTTCAAAGCCTAAATTTTCTTTTTGCTACTGAATTACTGCTTATAATGCGTGCCGTAATTTGTAATTTTTTAGCAATGCTACGCTTCATGATTAAGCATTTTCGCAATATTACCATCTCCTAGTTGATTCAAAAGCATGGTAAATTGAAGAAAAAAGAAAGGCAAAAGGCCGAAGCATCTAAAAGTAAGTAGCTGTAATTGAATAATTACGATTTTATTCGTGTGGAAGAAACTCTACTTGTTCTGAAAGCTACTAAGCACATCAGCGTAGAAGTGTGCAGCATTGCTTGTGTTGTAATCAGGTGGTCAACATGGTCATCAAATAGTATGTAGCTATTTATGAACCAGAAATGTTAAGAACATCATGTTTATGGCAGAAACAAGCTGCAGCAGTGTGATGGCTTTGTAACAACGTTATATAATGGTGCCTACCTTTTTGTTATTCATATAACTGAACTTTTAGTCACTGTCAGCGTTTTAATGTGCCTCGCAATGAACTGTAGTTTTCTTCCCTAAGAATTAAGTGGCCCGTTGAAAGATAGAAAACCTCGAATTACCCAGTCGTTTACCACAATGCCCGTTACTATGCTTGCCAATAAAAACCATGGTGTAAAATTTTGTTACCATTCCCCCGTGCAATGACTCGAATACGTAGATCAAAAACGATGTGATCGAAAATTTTTCATTGTCGCAGGCCGGGCTCAGCATGAGATGGGTTTCTGAAAATGCAAAAAAAAACGAAGTCCCCTCTAACCTTTATCCGAAATATGCGAATCGACTGAAAAAGAGCGAAACATCGACTAAAAAACTAATTTTGGAAACACGCAAACGACATTCCCTTTGTTTTTGTCCCAAAAACGGTATCCAGCTTGCTTAGAAGCCACATGTGCTGATCCTTGGTCGCAGAAATGGATATAAGACGATTTTCACTACTATTTATAAATCTGCTACTGGTCTTGGACCACAACTAAGCATCAATATGTGTATATTCACTTTCCAACCTACAATAATCCTGCTCCTCTGGTTCCGCATTTGTGGCTTTCGTACGATTTAACGAACAGAACGACTCTCATTTAGAACATTTTGTGGCGCAATGTTCTTTTTCAGCCGTGTTGGCCTTGCAAACGTTCTGTTCACAGCATTCATCAGAATCACCAGATTTTTTAGGTCTGTCTCCCATCTGTAGGAAAGAGGTTTGTAAAAGGTTCAAATTAGGAGCTGCAACTTGAGAGGTCACCTTCGTCTTTAGAAAAAATCTTTGAAGGTTGAAAGTGGTTAATGGTCAGAAACTAGAAGTGGCTTTATTTTAGGTTAGGCTGAGCTGTAAATCGCTCTGTTTTGTCCATTAAATTAATGTTCACATTCAGAACGTTCTAGAAATCTTTTGTGGTTAGAGATGCTTCACTCATAATTAAGAGAAATGCGTCCTTTAAAGGACTCGATTAACCTCAGTTCGAAAAATCAATAGCATAATAACTTTCACTTTTTCTTTGATAAGATGACAATTGCACAATAAATAATGGCATTTTTACATTATAGGCTGAGTGACAAAACGAAATTTTTAGACATTTTCTACAATTTTTTGGGGTTTTTCGTAAAGTACTTTTCGTAAAGTACCACAATAGCTTCCTCATTTCTCCAGAAAGGAAAATAGGAGTTATCCGACCATAGGTTCCCCCCTCCCGCTTCCTCTCTACCGCCTCCTCTCCCTTACTTTAAAACCTGAAGTCACCCATTCAAGAGTCTCATAGGAACTGAGTGCATCACATCTCTAGTCATTATGTTACAAGATCTTAGCGCACTGCCTCTCTCGTCCCGGCAATTACGTCAACAAGGTCGTGTACTCTTAAATTCACAAAGTTCTTGAAGAGAGGCCGTGGCATTCTTGAATTTGCTCTTGAATGAGCGCATGCCCTTTCTGCACTTCATTTTTCGCTGCAGGGACAAAATCAACGCAAGAATGCAAGTGATTTTATTTTGAAAGAGAGAGCGAGGAGTAAAGGTTATGACATTTTAGAAGGTTATAAGATTAGCGTGCAAAAAGTTTTATACAAAGTTATGCAAATTCGGTAGAGATACTCCTTATGCTTTATTATTTCCATAGAAGCGCTAGACGCTCGAGCTGTTTCGAATCATTGTATAGAATTCTATGCTAGTAGTCGGATATGAAGTACGGTGGGAGAAACCTATTCCAGAGAGATTGCAAAGTATTGTTAGTCACCGATTTTATTTTTTGAAAAAACTATAGCTTTTATCGAAGTTGTCAAAAAGAATTTTGAAAAATTTTTGGAATCAGTCGGATTTATCAGAGTATTAGGTTGGTGCTTAATTCTTGCACAAAATTTTTGAAATACTGTTACTTCCTCCAGCTTCAATGTAATCTTCTGATTTACTACATAACAAAGAGAAAATCTTATGCTTTTAACAGTTACAAATTTCGAATTTTTATATTCACTTACTGATTTTGTTTCATATAAAATTTGTAAAATGTACGAAAGAATACTATTCTCGATATACATGACAAAGAATTTATTTTGTAAATGACTGGTTTGCTCAAGCAATAAGACATTTTTCTTTATTTTTTTTTTGGTGCAAGAATTGTGCTTCAACCTAGTAGTTCTGTAAACACACATTTCCCAAGATTTTATCGGCTGTGACGCAGCTTGAACAACAAAATATTGTTACCTACTTTTCTTACCCCTGCAGCTGTAACAGTTGTCCGCCTCCACGTACATTTGTTCACATCTTATGTGCTGATTTTGTTGTTTCGCTGTTGCAGTTGTTTCCCATAAATCTTCCTACACCCCACATCCAATTTTTCAGTGTCAGTTTTCTCTTCCCAAACTCCTCACCATCCACAATGTCCTTGTCATCGTGCGGCGACCTTTGTGTGCCGAATATTGCGCGATGATTGGTAGCTGTTAGTAGAGTAGTACAGTAGGGTAAACAGGCGATCTTTTGTCATATTTCGGAATTCAACTAAAAACTTTTTTGAATCGTATGAAAGTTAAAGGTAAAATACTATAATACATGCTCACGGTATGCAGAAAATAAGAAAAAAATCCTCAGCTTGTAAATTTCAAAGTTTGGCTCCAAATATCCAACAAGATAATGTAACCTCAACTCCTATTTATCTTACTGCTTTGTGGTAACGTTAATTTGAGTTCATTGCCAAAGCGGAAATAGTGGTGACTAACAAGCAACTTCAAAAAAAGTGCTGCTTCTCAGTTTTCGGAGTTTGAGAAAAAATATATGAAAATACGCTGAAGCTTTTAGGTAAAAATAAATCTACGTCTATTTTTTAATTATTGGAAGTGAATGTTGACTAATTTAAGGAAAGTTCCTCGCCCTGTTTGACATCAAATGCAAAATCAATATTATTGAGAATGTATACTAGTTTGAGTAGACCATAGGATGAATAAGCATTGTTTTTGTAATTTTCAAAAAAATTTTCGCTGTTTTCACTTGCTTCCGAGGTTTTGCCTCTTTTACTCTTTTTTATTTATTCTTTGGTACCGGAAACTGCCAAGTTAGTTCCAACAGTACCTTTACTTGAAAATGAATTTCTTCCGTAGTGGCCGATTGTATTAGGTCGATGCAAAAGGAATGGCCGATCTGTGAATTCTCATTTTTACGTACTATAACTTTCTAAAAGATCCACATTTTTGAATGCGATAAAGACCCTCAGAAGCAACAACCTTTCGCAATACAGCGCATACTCATTTATACTCACACCATAAACGGGAAGAGAAATACGGACTAAAGGACAAAAAAGGTCCTTCTGCTAGGACCTTGTTTTTGACAATTTCATAACCTCCTTCAAAGTTTGTTTGTATGAATGACAAGTGGCCTATCTTGTAGCCGCAAGCCAATAGTACAAAATACTATAAAAAGAATTCGGATAAAAAAGTTTGCGAAAAAGAAAAAAACTGAGATTTGAAACTTCTCGATTTTTTCAACATTTTTTTAGTGTGCCTCAAAGTCCTGAATATAGGATTCTCTGATTTTTTTACGTACTGAACAGCTGGATGTTTTTGCAAAAACTGCTAATAAATGTCCTAGCCCTACGCTTGCATTGAGCAAAGCTTCGGCGACTGACTTCCTCAGAAGAAAATTTTGGGTCATAAAATGATCGCAACAGCTACCCCTGTTTAGGCGCCGATATCTCAATCTGGATTAAGTATGCGTAATGTAGACTACTTCTATTACATACAATAGCTAAATTTTCGAAGAAATCCCATTGATACGCGCTTTAATTCTGGCCCGAAAAGTGAATGCAATGAGATTCTGAATTTGGATGCGGTTATCTGAAGCTCAGTAACTTTATAAGATATAAGGATGAGAGCCTGTTTCAAGGCCCATTAGATAAAGCATGAAAACAGCTTCGCAATAATATACTACATCCACTGTAAAGAAGAAGTATTAATGGAAAAAAGCTGCCCTGAAAAATGGCTTGGAAAATGGGCTATTTCTTTTGCATCAACCTAATAAATGGTCGTATCTCTCATTTCCGAATTGATATGCGTTAAGAATGTCGGTGAAATACTTTACAATCGCTGCGCATCATTGAAGATGTTCATTGCTCTGCGATCTTTAATCTAATAATTTCAGCAGTATCAATTACGACTTTGCAACACGGAGTGCATCCCATGCTATGTATACAATTCGTACATCACGACTTCTATAATTCAATCGACAAGGAAAGCTGGGACAACCATCCTTTTCACTCATTTGGTAAATCTTCTGGTCTTTGAAGTTTGAAGTTGTGCTCATTAGCCTATTTAGTATCCCTTTTCGAAGTTTGAATCTCATTATGTCATCGCTCGAAGTGCTGCGGGAGCTCCGGTTTTTCGAGAACTTTCGCATCAGTTCATGGAAATTCCGTAGGTGATACCGCCGCCTTCAGCTGTATGCACAAACAGCCGCTCATTTTCTGCTACCTTTTTTTTGGAGAACAATCACCGCCGCAAGAAACTCCATTCAGAAAATTTCAGCAGAGCTGTGATTTTTCGGACATGTCCGCAGTGGCCACAGACCTGTGACAGTTGCTCGTCTCCTAATCGTTTTGTCTACGTCCGACTAGCAGCTTCGTTACAGATGTCATTGTCATAAATTTTGTCGCACTCTGAGCTCTGTGTCCTTTCGATGAGATCACTCTTTGAGACATTTTTTCTGCTTGGTACATGTTCTTTTCCAAAATCAGTTTTCCATGAAAAATTATTAACTCGGCATTGTTTGGTAGCCTTATGTCAAGAAAGTTGGTCTAAGGACGATCTGCCTTGCCTTTTTATTTCAATTCTTCCAGTCATATTCATTGTGTGCCACTTCCAAATTTTCCTTGCCTGTCTTTTGGTTTTTTATCATTTTCGTGCTTCCAAACCTCGCCGTCTTAAAGTATAGGAATTTCGCGCAATCAAAGCACAAAATGTTTGTCTTAACTGAGAACAACACCTATAAATGTGAGTGGAGGTTGTACAAATGGAAGATTAAAGTAATTACTTATAACATGCCCTCACCTTGATGGACAATTATTTTTCTAAATCAGGATTTGAACTCTGCTTTACTGCTTGTCGTCTCTTCGGTGAACTGTTTACAGTTTTTAAGAGAGAGAAATGCAAACTTTGCGAAAGAGTATCCCATCGCATGGTCGATGATCACCCGTCACTACCGTCATCAATAAAAAGGGATTTTTGACCTTGCTTACGTTATCCGTTATCTCGTAAAGCTTGCGTCAGTAGCATCAACTGACGCAAGCAATTTTTTCCTTTTTCCGTTATTTGTTGGCACATTTGTTACATACACCGATGCCATCTTGCATCATGGCATTTTCATTTATACAGCGGAAGAATAATTGCAAGCTCCATCTGGCATATTCCTCTTGGACCCTGTGTAGGATTCCATCAAGATCTGCAATTACAATTCTTTCGGGTCTTCCTCTCACTAACAGAAACAGACTGTAGATCTTGTGTTTCCCTTAATCAATCGATCAAGATTCAATTTGCAATTTTAACAAAAATTGTGGTTGATCATTGCGTTGATTCCGAATTGTGCTCAACAATTGCTGTTCTAGATTTGCTATTTTGCGGTCAAGGCTATACCTAAGGAATTCCGAAGACCTCAGTTTATAAGCCAGCGTAACCCTTTGAAATTATGTAGTCATGTATGTAGGATATTGTGTTAACAAAATAACGTGTGAAAATACTGTGAGCTAATTGAATCCAATTTTGCCTTCACAAGTAATTCCATTTTATCCCTGTTTTTGTCGCAGTTTGTGCTTTTCCACCTTTTTAGCTTTTCGCTTCTAGGTGAAAATTACGCTCATCAGCGGATACTGTAGACTATTTTAAGTAAGTTCCCACAGAATTGTCGAGCAAATTTATTGAACAATCTTTGATAGAAGTGAGGCTTGATGCACTTTTTTGACTGTCTTCTCCGAGCAAATAGCCTAGGTCACTGATTTATGTTTTCTAATTCATCGTCGCAAAGCCAGATGGAGGCTGAAGGAATGCATTCTTGATGGGCTGTGCGAAACAGTATATCTTTTCCGGAGATTTGTAGCTCTAGAACAGATTCTCTGCCCATATTTATGTATTGGAATAGATTTAACAGTTTCGAATAGACTTTTGAAGTGGAAAACTTCAAGAACGAAGTAATGCAAAAAATTCAAAATATGAAAGGAAAAACTTATGCTTTTAACGGTGAATTCTCTAATCCTACGAAGTATTTTTAGCATTAGTTGCTGCTATTTTTGAAGAACTTGTCTTTATCTGTCCGTTGCTTCTATTTCAAGAGGTACAACAAAATTATTTACGACTTCAAGCGAACAAAGTGTCGGATCGCTTTTTAGGGTCACGCGTAAACGTGTTAATGAATAGCTACTTAAAATAAAAGTGAACAGCTTTGAATCCTGTCTATGAATAGTCATAAATAATGCACTGAACAAATTTTTGGGGAACCTTCGCTCAGTTGATCACTGCCACAATTCCCATTCATTTTGTTGTTCATTTCCGCCCGCACTCTGGCCCTTTTGAAGACCTCGAGCCAACCACTTTGTAGCCCCGGCCTATCGTGTAATTACGCATTTTTTGTCACTTCATATTAGGTGTTTGCGTTAACTATCGGACGAAGGATCAAGAATGTTACCGCATATTTTGCTACTTTCCTGCAGTATTTCGTTTTTCTTTATCGAGTAAGTCTGCACAAGTTTTTCTAGACTTTTCTCCATTTGAGCATTACCTATCATTACAAAAGCAATTTCTTTCGCGCTAAATCGAGCCAGCATTGTTTTATCAAAGTTCAAAACAATCTATGTGAGTGTGTATGAATTCTTAGATTCCAAGCTTTATCCTCTTGAGTCGAAAAAATTTTCGGATCTGTTTATATCGTTTGTTGTTTATCCAATACCATTATTCTGTAGGAAATGTATCGGAAAGTGATCCATCACGAAGCTGTTTCTCGGAGTTCTTCGTTAATTGTTGATATTGGATATTCAAGGTCTCTTTACTATTTAAAAGTCAATGGGAATACTTCCCTGGAGTTTCACTTGGTATGTTATTGTAAATGAGAATTTAACTATACATAATGTACCTAATTCAAAATTACTCTCCTATCAGATGTCGTATCCTTAAAATATCAGGTTGTTCTTGTACCGCATCTCTAATCTATAGTGAACATAAGTTCTTTCTACAACGCTGATCTCAACTGATGAAGAGTACTGAACTTAACTTCTACCACTTTCACATCTGCACCATTGATAGTCTTTTTGTAAAGTCATGGCAGTTTCTCTCAATGGGAGCTATTTGTGAACTGTTAATTAATTTTCTAATAATTGCAGAAGAGTTCGGTTCCTCTTCAATAAAAAGGTTTGCAGCGCAGTTTCTGCCGGAGCCATCTGGCGGAAATGCCGTTTATCCAAGTACAAAATTCTAGCTTCGCACATACCTCGCATCTACTTCAAACAAGTTGTGTCCGTTTCTTTTCGCTGAACACAAATCGTTCCTTTTTCCACACACCTCAAATTTCCTGCTGCTGCGTTCCTACTGCGTGCGAACAAGCTGGTCGACCTTTTTTTGAGGTCGCGCACAACCGCAAGTGAAGAATGGCCAGTTAAAAACCGAAGTAGAGGAAGTTGAGGTGTGTTGTCCATAAATGGCTTTGAGTAAGTGCACTCGATAGAATTTTCGATGGCATTGGAACTGTCCATCACTGTCACGACTTTCATTTATCTTCTTCGCCAGCTCCTACCCGCGCACCGCCTTTACGGAATCTTCTGCAACTACACAGGTTAGCCAGGTATCCCATCTGCCATATCACTACTTCACTACCTCTGAGTTGGTGCCGCCGCTTCAGGTTGTCCGGTGACAAGCTGAATTCCGTATGAAATATGATTTGAAGAAAAATTCTTCCACGACTTAGGTAATGAAATCTAAAGGAAATCTTGAAAAGACAATTTTTTCATATAGCCCCCCCCCCCGTTTCTTCTTGCTCCACATCAATGCTTTTTCTTTGTGAACTTCTGTATATTATGTACATTCATACGGGTCTGCGATTCATTGACAATAAGCCTAGTTTTGATATGATTTTGATTTTCTATTATCTTAAAAAACATATCTCCTACAATTTACTCTCAAATAGAAGTGTATGTGGAAAACGAAACCAAAGAATTTGTAGAAGGATGATGGGAAGATATTGCAAACTACCCAAAGCTTGCTTCAGGCATCACTAGTCATTTTCAGTTTTTCTCACATTCTAGTTACAATGACTATGACTATTATTATTATTGCTATTACAATGACTTTTACTTAACTTAGGATTCTTGATTACGATGCAGGAATATACAAAACATTTCCTAATCAGCAAATATTAGTTTCTGCAAGATGGCTATTTCTTTCTCATGAGTGTTGTCCCCACCAAATATGAGGATAGCCTGCCCATTCATATTTGCACAACCTCGACATGATCCTTTTTTGAGATCTGTCTACATCATCCAAACGTTCGAGCGTGCTCCACAATCTGCATTGATGTGAAGTGCTCTAGAAATAGTTTCAAGAATGGCCATTTTTTCACCCGTTCCATTAAATATCTAATCCCTTCATGCACCCTTTCCAAACATTATTTTCAACATTTTTCGGGTCTCAATGACCCTATCTTTCTCACTTTCATTTCTTAGCTCCAACATTTTGCAGTAGCCATTCTGGCTCCAGGTTTTATCGCTTTAACAATTACAATATTACCCTTCGACGCGTATCACACGCACGTTGTAAGTAATAGTCTGAGTCGAGGTAACTGGGTGAAGAAACCTGTCGACAACTCTAACATTTGTTTCGCTTTCACAAAGTTATGAAATCAGCCGGCCTGATAAACTATCTAAACGAGGAACGAGTATGAACGTGACCAATATTATAAGGTTGTTGCATCTTGCAAAAATTTTGCTCATAGTAATTTCTAATTTCTAATGAAATTGTAACTCTATATCTTTTTAAAAAGGTGTGCGCTCCTGGTGAGCTTAGGACGATCATTGTTGGCAGCCGATTCAGCCTGATAAAGTGAAATATGCAACTTGTGCTTTTTGAAAATCGCATTCAAAAAAGCCGCTTGCTTCTGAATCTGACTTCTTTGGTTTTTTATCAGATAACTATTAGGTCGTTCCGAAAGTAATATCGCTTTTTTCAAAAGTACACCACACCTCATGGAACAAAAATATGTAAGAGATTCTGGTAGCATACGATGCAGCATTTCATTTCCTTTCTAATGCTTTTATAATCATTGCACAAAATTCAAGAGCCTCTCGAAAAATTATCAAAATTTGAACCCATGCTTTTTGAGAAGGCCAAGTTTCAAAATTTTCTAAATTTTTATAACAACCCTCGGGAGGAGTCCAAGTAATG